TTTCCCACAACTTAGCAAAGAAGATGGAGAGTGGTCTAGCAGTGACTGCAACCAGGTCCTTTAACACCCGCGGGTGCATCCCATCTGGACCCATAAATTTATGGATGTCCAGATTGCTTAATTGGTCCCTGTTCCATTAAATGCCTATTTCCTGAGAAACACTGTGAAAAAGCTCTTAATTATGCAGTTTTATTATAAAAATAAAGCACACAGTAACACATGGTAATTCCAATATGTTTTAACTTCATAGCATTCAGTCTTAGTATTGGGTTAAGAATCTTTCTGGAAAAGAAGTATGCGTGTGGAAAAGGAAAGCCAGTGCCTTGCTACGGGAATGTTCCTCTCTTGTAGCCCACAGAAGTACAGCACTAATTACTGTCTTGTTGATGGATTTGCCCAGATAACAATTGTGGGTTTAAATAAAATAATTATCTGGGGGTTTACTCTAATGTGCCCTTCCCTGTAAGTGCTGTCTTCTGCCCTAAGCCTACTTGCTGAGCTCTTATGAATGATGCTGAAAATTTGGCACACAAAATGAGACATTTATATCACTAAGTGAACAGTCTGTCACTTACAAGTGGGAGAGTACATAGTTTAGGTAGCATAATCTTTTTCATCTGCTTGTAGTCTGACTTGGTTATCTGACAGAAATCTGCATTTTACGTCACTGTATCTGCAGAATAAACCCGCTAAATTAAGAGGAGATAAACTCACTGTTTAATTTTAGAAAGGCACTGGTATACATTTAACAATGCTTGTTCACTACAGTGGATAAGTGCAGTATATGTCATGATGACAGTTCAGCATCTGCAAAATTATGACCTTGCTCTCTTTCGGTGCATACTTGATGTCTGATCAATAAGCACTTTGGGGACTAATTAAAGTCAGTTCAGTGATGGATGCTCTCACAGGATAATCTATAGTTCAACAGTTTGGTGGATATTTGAGAAGCAGTATTGGTTATTTCATCTAAGCATCTGTTAAATATTCACAGATCAGAGATCTGTGGATCTCCGAACTCTTCATACAGTAATTATATTTACAAGAATTAGGCAAGCCTGTTACTGTCTTTTGCAGTATCGAAGAGTCTTTCAAAAACTCCAGGGAGAAAAGGTGGTATAATTTTAAGGGAGAGAGTCATACGTGCAACTTAGCACGCAAATTCTAAGCTAACTTGTTGAGGAATCGTGCATTAAATACTTGGAAGACAACTCGTAGCTTATTCTCATTTATTTTCCATATGTGTCTGTCTGATACTTTCTCGGGTTAAGTTTAGCTGCTGCAATATTGGCTCTTAAAAAACATTGACAAATCATGAAAAAGGCTGGAGCTGTCAGCTTTCCCCAGAGGCTTGCAAAACAGTGATGTCATTAGTGCATGAGATAAGCAATGCTGTCAACGTAACAAACTGGACAGGAGTCAAATGCATAGGCTGATCACTGCTCTGTACATAGTCTGTATTGATTTCTAAACCAGCGTGGCTCAGGTAGGACAGACTCTGTTGTCCAGCCCTGAGTATATGGCCACAAGGGTGGCTTCTTTTTGGAACTGAATTTCAAGTAGACTTCTTGATTCTCCTTAGAGACTATGAGCTCCATGTCATCCTCACACAAAACTTGACTTTCAGTCAGTGTATAGTGAGACACTCTGGATTTGGTGGCATTTGCTGTAAGCAGGCAGCAAGAGGAAGAAGTATTGTTCAATGATGTGAGGTTAGAGGAGTCAGCATGGAGGCATCTGAGCCTCTTGGTGAGAGCTGGTAGTGATGCAGTTGTACTCCTTCACTCAACAAGGAGGCAAGCTGAAGTGTCACAGCTACTGCAGAAGAACATTTATGGCTAGTCCACTGGCACTCAACAAAAAAGCTTAAAAAACTTCAGTGCTTACTGCTTTTGTCAAGCGGAGCAAATCCTTGCTTCACCACTTAAGTCAGATGCTTTGAGATGTGCTGTTAGGAAACTCTGCGATATTCTTGTTGTTCCCTCATGCAGGCAGAAAAACTGAGAAAATACAAAAGAAATAACTTTCCTAAGTGGTAAGAGACAGGACTTAGCCTTGTCTCGCTAACTAAAAAGCCTCTGGAGCTGACACAGAACAAAAGATAAAAAATAAAAGCCAACATGTATAGACTTCTGTAAAGAAGCACTCAAAAAAATGAATAAAAAGGCCAAAAGAGAAGGGTGCAGCCTTGTTTTTTATTTCCTTTTCCCATCATTTTTAATAGAGCCATATCAGTTTCTGTGCTTCTCAGATTTGTTTTATAAATAATTTCTTTAAGAAGTGCCTTTCTTCTCTCTTCAGTAATTCTTTCCATGTGGCTATACAAGTTAGACTCTCCCAGTACAGATTATCGACAACTTGACAATTTCAGAAATCCTTTTGGTAACAGTGCAGGATATAGGGAGCAGAACGTGCTGTTCTGTTAAGCTGAGGACCGTGCAGCTTGCATTCTCTTCCCAGCTTGGCTTGTTTTTTCTTCGGGTTTTTGCCCCATCCATGTAGACTGTGAGCTACTGGGGCAGCGGCTGTTCCCGGCAGATGTGGGCAGTGCTGGGACAGGGAGCTCTGCGCTCTGGTCAGGCGTTGGAGCGTGACTGTGCTATAAAATAGCAGCAGCAGCAGCAATAACACTAAGTCCTGCTCTGGGCAGTTTGAGTTTTTTCAGCAGAGACCTGTAAACATATGTTTTTAAAAATAAGGCCACTTTTTAATGCATGTCTCCAACTGTTTTACCTTACTACTAGAAGTTAGTGAGGAGTTACCTATTTCATGTTTAATATCAATTCTACGTCAGTTGTTTCAGCAGCCTGTGGGAAATATTTGGGCCACCCCAAAACATAAAATCCTTTTAATTTCCCTGTTAGTTAAATTCTAAAAACCTAAACGCTAATTGCTCTGATTTCTGTTTCCCAAATATCAAGGCCCATTTCTTAATCGTGACTAACACCCAGTTAAGACAGCACTGGTGAAATTAAAGTTTGTGGCGAGATTTCCTGGCTGTGCTGAGAGGGTGATGGGGCAGCGGACTACAGCTCCAGAGCTGTGATGGGACTGCGATGCATGCGCCACAATGGGACCCTCCACCTATTTGGAGTCTCCATGTCCATCTAATCCCAAGGGAAAATGCTGAGGGCAGTGCATGCTCCACTGTAAGCATCGCTTTTTGGGGGGTTGTGGGTTGTTTTAGTTTTTGATTTTTTGTTTGTTTGCTTTTTAGTGGAGAAGCAAGAATATTTCCTTTCCATCACAGTGCCTTTGTCAGGATTTAATTCCCTTTCCCTTTGTACTTCTTCTTTGGAAGACAGACAGCTGAGCATCCCTTTGAAGTTCCTGCTTTTAAATTTACCTTTTGGTTGCCATGTGCTCCGCAAGGCCAGTCAGGGATTAAATCAGTGGCATACACAGTTATGGTGTATATGCAAAACATACATGGTTATGCAAAATTGCAGCTCTATAAAAGTTTCTTTCTTTCTGTTGCACGAGACTTTGAAAATGCTTCTGTTCAGCCATCACTGGATATGGCTGCAGTTGGTTTGTGTCGATCCATGCTAAGCCATGCTGCAGTGAATTTGCGCTATCTAGCTTTAGTGTCCCCAGTGTTGCCACTCTGTGGATGCTCCTTAGGCTAGCCTAACTACTCAGCTACAAAACCTACTCCTCTCCCTAGGGAATATTTCAAGGCAGCTCCACAAAATAGTCTGTCTCCTCTGTGGGTCACATAAAGCTCTGCTAAGGGAAGAACAGCCGATTTGGTTCTTCCCTGGCTGTGTCCTTCGGAGGAGATGTGAATGGTCCAAAGATAACGTCTGCTGGAGAGAGCTTTCTGGCACCCTGTGAAGAAAAGACGAGGCCGCTGGCTGCCTGAGGACGCCTTCATGCTTTGTTCCTTGCTTGAAACTGAAGACAACAGCAACAAAATCAAACAAAAAAACTGTGGAAGGTGGAAAGAGGCTTTCTGTGCTGGAGGTGGGCACAGAAAGGAGGTGAGCCCTTCCCAGCAGAGGCAGGTAGTTGTGGTTGCTTGCTGCCCACTATGCACCACTCAAGCTGAAACTTTTCTTGCTTTAAGAAGAAAGGGAGGACTGAGCTAAACCAGTCCCTCTCCCTCTTTGTGGTCTGTGCAAGCATGTATTTGCAGGCTGGCAGCCCAAGATCTCTTGGCTGCAGAACCAGCATCATGTGTAGGGGGAAGATAATGTTATTAACCTGAGGGCTATGGGGGAAGCACCTTCACAACTTATTTATCAAGCTGCTCCTTCTTCAGCTTTCATCAGGTTTTAGGTTGCACCCAATCTGCTGGCTGCACAAATCGGAGCCACTTCTTTCCAGGCTGTGGACGGCCGTCTAGCTGGTTGGAGATGTGCTCCCAACCAGAAGCTTCCCATTGCCTCTGCTTGCTTCCCTTTTCCTCAGTGCTGAAGGGGTCCTTCTGATTTCAATCATTCCGTGTCCATAGACGAGCTGTTAACACTGAAGAAGTCAGATAGATATGGCACTGATATAGATTTAGTTTTATTGCTCATTGTTTCATGTTTTCATTCAAAGACAGGAATCCTGAACTTTAATAGGAAGGATTTTTCTCCTTCCTGTTAAGGCCATGAAAAAATAAAAATCCCAGAAAATTTTCTACACAACTTTTGACTGAAATACTTGGTAGCTTGCTGACTCATTGCCTATCAAAACATTTCAGTGATGCAAGGCCCTTCTGAGCAGAAATGAGGCAGGATGAGAGACTGTCTCACACGCTTACATTGCAACTAGTTCTCCATCACCTTTCTCTTTATTCATAGTGCTTGGTAAAGCACTCTGAACATTTAGAACCTTATATATATATAAATATAATTAAAATGCAACCAGAAATCCTCAATCTCTGTTGGCAAAGAAACTTATCCAAGCTTCATGTTTTTAAGAGAAAGTTTTGCTCAAAGAGCCTATGATTTTTCTGTAGATACCTTTGTATTTTCATTTTATCTTAACTCTTTTGACTCTGTCTTCTGCAGGTCATGAAAACCTACCACATGTATCATGCAGAGAGCATCAATGCAGAAAGCAAACTGAAGGAGGCAGAGAAACAAGAAGAAAAACAGATTGGGAGGTCAGGAGACCCCGTTTTTCATATTCGACTAGAAGAAAGGCACCAGAGACGGAGCTCTGTGAAAAAGATTGAAAAAATGAAGGAAAAAGTAAATAGTCCTTTTATTGAGCTTCATTTGAAATAAATTCAGTGCATTTCTGACATTCTTTAGCACGGTATTAGACTGAGAAGTCCAGCTGAGAAATAAAATTAAACAAGGTACACATAAATAAACTGTCAGTGGGTTATAGATAACTTGACTTAATTGCAGTCCAGAGAGGGAAGTACTTTATTCCCCGTATAATTCTTGCTATATGGTTTATCACATTTGAAACAAAATTCTAAGTTATCACTTTATATTACATTTGTTATACGCATAACAGACTGGCAACTAAGATTCAATCTTGTTAATCGGAATGTGCACTTGAGTTGTTACCATTTTTGCTACGTACCAAAAATTACGTAATTCAAATACATTAATATACAATCTTTTTCCTAGCGTCAAGCAAAGTATTCTGAAAACAAGCTGAAATCTATTAAGGCCCGTAATGAATACCTGCTCACCCTTGAAGCAACCAATGCTTCTGTTTTCAAGTATTATATTCATGACCTTTCGGATTTAATTGACGTAAGTATTGGCCTATTTGTTTTTATGTTTATTCTGTTCAGGAATAATACTTTTCTTTTTTCATTTTCAAAGGGAATATATTAGGCATATGGGTTGCCTACAATACACTTATCATTTATAATATTTGTATGGTATAATCAGCGGATATTCCCTTCAGCTTTATATTTCACAAAATAAAGTGCTAATAAGATGCTGAACCCATTCCTTTAAAGTTAGAACATCATGTTTCCTCCCCATGTGGCAAGAGAAAATATGACAGGAATAAAACAAAAAAGGTAGACATTTCCATTTCGTACTCTAAATTGATTTATGAGGTACAAATTTTTTTTATAAGATAAGGGTATCTAATAGTGGCATTTTAACTCAAAAGAAGGCATTTCCTCCATGTCTTCAAATTTAGTTTCATTCATTTAGTCATTGAATCAAATATACACTGCTTTTTATTCTTATTTCATGTAGTTTGCAGAACAGACATAATCAATCCTGTACTCTGTACTGTCAACAGAATTGTAACTGATTTTCATCAAGTTATTCCTGTGAGAACATCGTAGGAGAATGAGGTTGTACACTGACGTTGACTTGTACTAGCATTTGGTTTCCAGAACCTGTATTATCAACATTTTTAGATTATATGGAGGGAGGATCCCACAATCTGTCATGTCCCACTCTCTTTTTAAGCTAACCACATATTTGATAGAGAAAATTTGGAGGCTGCAAACACAAGCTCAAGAATATTCATTCGCTAGCAATGTAGTGTTAAATAAGTCAGTGGGTACACCTCTGTGGCCCGTATGAAATGCTAGATATTTGAATATGCTTTCTACTGCAACAGTAGCATATATTTACAATAGTAAATAGCATTCGCATACAGTCATTTCTGGTGAGATGTTCATTACAAAGATAAGCCAGCTGAGCTCTGGTTTGTAATATAGTATAAACTAATGCAGCATTTGACAAGAGGTTTCTCATTTCTACTGTCTGGAGAAGCAAAGCTTGATAGAGAAGGGGAAGAATGCCTTCTTGAGATAAATGGACTGAAATAGCTGCATATATGTGTTCTATTGTATGTTTTCTAAATACTGTGAGTCAGTTTTCTTCAACATTTCTATTTTCCTGTAATTTATAAAATATTGCCTTATTTTGTTATCTTTTTCCTTTTCCCTTTCAACTTTTTTCTCTCCAGATGGTTTTGCTTCTTTTTTTTCTTGCTTCTTTCTTATAAGAGGTGGTGATGTGTCTTTTTTGTGGTTTTAGTATTTCTTGCTATCTCTGTCTCAACATCTCTTTTCTTCCTCTTTCGTACTTACTGTTGCATGTCTTCTCTTTTCTGATGTTAGAGAAATTCTGACATTTATCAGGATCCCAATAGATAGATGATCAGGGCAGAAAACTAAGGACAGGAGCAGCATACCTGGAGGGTACCCCCCAAGTAATGTCCCTACCTAATGGATGGTTTTCCTGATACTGCTTAAGGGATGATGGATTTCTAGGTTCTGGTTAGGGCATGTCTAATAAGTGGGAACTTTATGAGTTCTTTCTGGCTGCTGGAAGGAAGGAAAAGTCCCTTTCGCTCTGTTCCCAGCACCCCCACCCCTTCAGAGATTGGAAAGATGCTGATTTTGTCTTCTCTACTGCCTTCTCTTTTGGAGCTCCCATTTCACAGTGAATGTCTCCAGTGTGTGTTTCTACATGGTCAAAACTTTCTCAGGTTGGAAAATGCACCTGATTTTTACCCATTTCATCAGTGTCCAGAGAGGTTGTTGTAGCAGTGAAAGCTGAGGGGAGGAAACATGGGCCTGGAGCTTCACAAAGAATTGCAAGAAGTGAAGCAAAGCTCTCTCTGCATATATATATACAAAGACAACACTTTGTATATATAGTATGTATATATATATACAATGTACATGTACATGTACATGTATATGTATATGTATATGTATATGTATATAACTTGGAGTTACTGTTTGAGAAGATACTACAATGAAGACCAGAGCTTTCTAACTGCTGTTTTTTAATAGAGATATACTGTCTACAGTATTCAGCAATACAGGAAGACGATACCTACTTTGCATGGCTTTTTCCAAGCCATGGACCAATGTAGACAATAACATTCTTTTGGCAAAATGGCTTTAGAAATTACTCTTCCCTAAGGAATTTAAGTGGAAAGTCTAGCTACCCTTTGCATCACTGTTTTGTAAGAGTTGGCTGTAAACATGTGCAACCAGAACTTGCCTGAGAGGCAATTTAATCTGATTATGAGTTTGTTTAAATGAACTGTCTTTCAGACATTTGTATTTAATCAGACTACACTGTGAAAGCATTGGTATCTAGACAGTGTTTACTACTTGACAAAGGCAAAGCTTTTTATAAATGCAAGAGTCTTGGCAACATTTTGGGGTTATATCATTGGAATGTGAGACATGCTTCCTGCTGGCCATATGCTGCAACAATCCAGACTATCGCTCTCTGGAAATCTATTAATGTAACGGAGTGATTCTGAGTTTTCAGAACAGTGGTGGCAATTTCATTTTTTGCCCTCTCTGCTTTGTCCCTATCTGCCTGCCTGTCTTTCCGGGCTTTGCTGAGCTCTCTCTTTGCCTGTACAGAAGGGGATTACTTTTCCCCAGTGTCTGAATCCCAGTTAACTTGGAAAGTATGTAGATCTCCACAAGCTGTTGGTGTTGCCCATAAATGAAACTGAATGTTTTCCTACATTACTGAAAAATGTCTGATAAAAATGAGATAAATATATGAAGGAATGCAGTGGACTGTTCAATATTTTTTTGTAACAAGATTAGGGAGGGTCGTTGGATTTTTTTTATTATTATTTTTTACAAAAAAATCATAGTTTTTTTCTTTGGATTCCACTGCAACTTGAATTGTGAGGCTCATATGGAAAATCCTAAATTGCAGTTCCTCAGCTGAACTCAGTCTGAACTATTCAGCTCCTTTATTTCATTAACAAAGCTAAGAGCTTCTGGCTTAAAGTGATGATGTGTTGCTCATCTTAAGCTCTTATGATAAAGGCAAGATAAAAATATTGCTGGAGTCTTAGCTGGATATTTTAATGCATTTAGTTAGCTGACAGTTGGGACCAGCTTTTACAAAAAATGTGGAGGGATAAACAAGATTTGATTTGCATCATATATTTCTGTCTTCCACGTATTGTGCTAGAAGAATTTGAATTTTCTGTTGAATATTTCTTCTATATAGTAGGATCCAGTTCAAGTGGAGGGCATGATTAGTTTTTTTCTTTATTTGTATTATGTAAATTTAGCAAATATTACTTTTTAGCTGAATTAAATAAGCTTTATCTAGTATGTAGAACCTATTTTTTTTAAGATTGTGGTTTTCAGAGGAGCAACAGAGTACACACCCCTGCTAATCTGTTAATACCAACATCTGTCCATATGGCACATACTATTTACTGATTTACTTGAAGATTTCCATGTAATTGAGTTTATTAGATTTATCTGGGTATAAGAGGAAGGTAAGGACCTTTTTTCAGACTTGCACTCATGATCTGAAGGTAAATGCTAGGAAATAGTGATCCAAACAATTTGACTGTAGTTTTACTGCTAGAATAAATAAAACATTAATGTGTTGTTCTTTCTTAGAGCGGAGTTTCTGAATCTCTGCAGTCTGCATGCTTTGCATGGTTAGGAAGTTAGGGAACATTTAGTTGTTATGAACTTCATTTATTCTCTGAAGGTTCTTTGTTAATCATTCATAGAACCAAGTTTAAAACTAGGCTAGAGTGTGTGCAGCTCGCAATCTTTATTACATAAGTTCTCATAAATATGATATGTACAGCCAGATCCCTTTGACTTGAATGCTGATGTCTGTACCAGGATGATTAGAAAGTGACTTACTCAGAGGTTAAGGCTTTTTTTATTAATTTCTCTCTCTATTGGCATTAGAATTTTATTATTATTCCTGAAATGAAATGAAGAGCAGCTTGCTTGTTTGGTTGAAGCTCTGTGCTAAGCACTGCAGTTTGTTTTGTTCAAGCCTAAATATACTCTGGGGAGCAATGAAGACAGTAAATGCTCTTGAGACTGCCTCAGATTTAAATCCAAATAAGAATAAAATGCAAATTACAAAATTAATTTTTCACACATATCCCAATGCATCACTCATCTCCCTCTACTTTGCCCAACCAAAATTCTTTATGAATCCAGAAATGCAATAAAACTCATAGTCTGTGACTTAATTCTCTCATTTCTCATCTACATATCTTACTGCACCAACTGACATCTCTCTAGTCCATAGAGTGATTGCAGATCTCATTTGCCATCCAGGCTGTAGCCTTGGTGTGCTTATTAGTGAAGCACAAAGATTCATATTTATTTTGGCTAACAGTGTGGTTGCTTGCTTGAACTTTCCGAATCTTTCTACAAACGTACAGATTTTCCCTGAAATTCATGTATACGTGCATGTGTGCATATGTGTGTGTTTCTCTGCATACATATGTACTTTTTTGCAACACCAGAAAGGTTGGTGATATTTTTTCCAAGCATGATCAGACAGGATGTGGTGTGGGCAGCCGTTTAGTGGCAGTACCTTGAATATTTAGTCTTAGTAATGAACAAATACCCAAAGTGTATCTCCATTATAGACAACTCTCTCTCTAAACGATGACTATTACTAGCAGATTAAAACAGTACTCTTCTTTCTGAGTAGCCATGAGTTGATATTGTGACAAGGCCATTCCCTGGTTAAAATTATCTTTCCAAATTTTGGAGAAAGTGAACTACGGTCTGGCAGAAGCAAGAGTTGTGATGTCCGAGTGTTTATTTTTGCTTTTAAAAAATAACTTTACTCATAAAAATTCTATTTTTACTTAAATTGTTGAAACAAAATTCCAAATTCAGGCATTTTAAAATCCATTTAAGGAGCCCCTGGTGAAAAGGTATTAGTTCAGGTTCTGGATTTAGTTCTTGTTTGCTCTGCTGGCATTGGCATTGCAAGAAAATGCCTTAGTCTGGTAGGATATTCTGCTTTGCTTAGGGAATCCTTCTTCTTGGCTAAGAGGCCATATTTGTTACTGTGTTCAGCATCATCACCTGCAAAAGATGACCAAGGTAATAGTTACTGAGTAAATTAAGGGTTAAACAACAACATTCTTGGTACTCTCACAGCATAAAGGCTGCAGTCTTATATTCCAACTTGCAAAAAAGCTGCATTAGAAGCCAACACAGCTCTAATTATAAGTTGATAAGCTTTCTATTAATACTTAGATTAATCCTCTAGAGCCAAAATTCAGGCTCTAGATGCCTGTAGTTTTATAATACATGGATGGTTGGCCATGCTAAACCTGGCATTGCCCTCTATTTCTCTTTTCCTCTCAGTTTAATCTTCCATGAGGTCTCTCTGTAACTAATGCACATGAAATAAAACAGCTATCCTGATCCACTTTCTTATCAACACTTTTAGTCTGTCTTTTTCATCCAAGATAGTGAATTAAATATGAAATCCGATTTGACACAGAGCAAGAGGAAAACACCAAGAGACTTTTCCTTTTAGAAACAGTATTTTTTAGGCTGAAGGTCTTTGAAATATGAATGTGCTTTAGTATAAGAGTTGAGTGGTTGTTTTAGTCAGTGTTACGCAAATTTCCATTCTATAAATGCAAAAGAGAGAGGTTAACCTATGTGAACATGACATCTTTTTTCCATTTTCTTGAAATGGTTCAGCAAATGGCTTTTGGAGAGCCACTGCCCCACCTGCAGTAACTACCTGGAGTACTTGCTAGGACTGAAATCTTAGTCTTTCTGGAAGTTCTGTTGTGAATAAAACAGTCCTCTCTTGTCAGATTTCAGAGAGCAGTTTGGTCACTAGTCATTAATGCACCTAAAGCAAGGTGTGAGGAGTTTCTTTCTCTTCTACCCACAGTTTTAGGTATGGTAAATTGGTTGAAAACTTTTCCCATGCAGTGTGTGCATCTGTATGTCTGTCTGCCTCTCTCTCTTTTTGTCTCCTTTTTCAAATAAGTAAGAGGAAAGGGAGGGGAACGTGAACTCATGGGTCCTAAGGGTTCGTAGGAGCTGTGAGAGAGGTGTGCATATAAACATAGTCTACAGTGGACAGAATTCAAATTGCTACTTTACCAACTGAATTGCTTAACTTGCAGGTCCTGCAGGGAAGGATGATTTTAAACTGCGGGTGGGCAGCCAGGACGGGTGTCTGGGGGCTGGGGGATGGCCTAAAGCAGCGTGCCCCCTGACTGCCCTCGTCAGGCATGGGCCTCTGTCTGGGACACATCTCTCCTGTTTGAATAAAGAATATTGCTTTGTGTGCAACTGTTAGTAAACTGATGTGCCACTACTGGGGTAACAGAGACGTCTGAGATACATTTGCTATTACCTCAAAGCTCACTGAGCAGAAGCTGAGGATATTATTTACTGTGTAATGTGGGGAAAAAAAATAAGGAAACACTTACTTTATAAGCTCCTGCTGTGACATTTTAAAAATATATTCAACTGTTCCTCTAAAATATTAACCAATCATGAATAATGCAAACTGAGGATGTTTAAAATTCAAGAACAAACACAACTTTATGTTCTACCAATTAGGTTTCAATTACATTCCTCACCCCTAGAAAAAAAAGACATAAATTATTACTTTCTGCATTTACTAACATGATGTACATTGCTGGCTCTGTCAGAGCATGGAAAATAAGGTGTTTACAGTAAATACATTTCCACTATCAGGGAAAGAATGTTAAACCATTCTTGTTGCATCAGAAAGTGCCTTAGATGGGTCATTAATGCTAGAGGCAGTTGTGAGGGTTTTGCTTGGGCACAGACATGGCGAGCAGGAATTTCTTCATTTTAAGTTTGGTGCTGGCATTGACTTAGATGGCAGAGTTATGTCAGAGTGGGTTTGAATAGATGGTCTGAAGTTTACATATGACAATAATACTGAAAAGCCCACTTGTGAGTGGAGTCCCAGACCTTTTCTATTTAAATACCATAACTGCACATCTGTATCTGACAAACAACTGCAAACATATTGCCATAGACATATACTTAATTCTTTCTAAAACCATCCTTTAATCTTTGCAACAAAATGAGGATGCTAAATACTTACTGTCTTGACCACAGTATTGTATTTTAATTTAGAAGATATTTTGTAAAATACTGCAAAGACATAACAATTTCAGAACAGAAAATTTCAGTGATAATTTGTGGCTTGGGATATTGGAATACTGTTCCTCCTTTTTAATATGTTTTCTTTTCCCTTCATTCTGTTTTTAGTGTTGTGATCTTGGATACCACGCTAGTCTAAACAGAGCCCTAAGAACATACCTTTCTGCAGAGTATAACCTTGAAACTTCCAGGCATGAGGGCTTAGACATCATTGAAAATGCAGTTGACAGCTTGGAGCCACGGAGTGACAAGCAGAGATTCATGGAAATGTACCCCACCGCTTTTTGTCCACCAATGAAATTTGAGTTCCAGTCTCATATGGGTGATGAGGTCTGTATACTGACAAGTATCCCCACGGTGACTGTTTCTGTTTCTATATACCAAGACAGAGAATTATCGCCTTTTACAAAGAGTTTGGTAAAAGCTGTTATTGCTACCCAAAAGCAAGTGGATCAGCAATAAGATTTTGCAAAACTGGCAGTGCTATTCTGAGTTTCTTCAGAGTTCTCAAGTAAAAACCATTGTGTTTTTTTATATTCTGTATTACTCATAATGACATTGCTGCAAATTTGCTGGCCAACCTGTGCTCAGCCCAGCACTGGTGTAAGTAGTGGCTTTATGTCTTCACTACCTGCCGCCTCACCCATAACAGAGCTTGTGGGTGCTATTGGAGAGCAGCACCTGAGCTGCTCCGAATTGTGCATGCTGAAATGCAGCCTTTTCCCCTTCTTTCCCACCCATTTTATCATCTGGAGATTTCAAGTGTACAGGGTACCCCAGCTGTGCCCTGTTCTGCTACACAAAAGGCCAGTAGCAAAGCAGAATCAGCTGTGTACATCTTTAATCTAAAGGTAACTACAGGGTTTGCATTTCTGTGTGATAGAGAAGCAATGCAAAGCAGCCATAGAACAAGGCTGTGCTCTGTAGCCTTAAGATGCAGTACATAGTTCCACACCTTGTAACACATAAATACTTTAAGTTTAGGTGGACACATTTGATTGTCTGCTTTATTAATTTTAATAGCTTTGGTAAGGAATTCACCTAGTTTTAAGGAGAGCAGCCAAAGACTATTGACTGTGTTTTTTTTTTTTTTTAATTCCTTGCATATGTTACAGCTCTTTTTGATTCTTTGTTAGGTTTGTCAGGTCACTGCCCAGCAGCCTGTGCAAGCAGAGCTTATGCTTAGGTATCAGCAACTACAGTCGCGATTGGCCACACTCAAAATCGAAAATGAGGAGGTAAGGTCTGTGTCTGAAAGGGCTGTGCATTGAACACCATTTTCAGGAAAGTACAATGTTTTCTACCTTGTCAGAAGTATGTAAATGACCCTGAGATGGCTTCAATCCTTATGAGCTCTTTTAATTTTAAAAATCTAATACTGGCAAATATGCTAAGGTAGGTAGGTCCTTGTCTGCTTTATAGAGATTTGGAAACTTCGTCTTTTACCTGTCCATACATTCACATTACTGAGTTCTGTGTTTTGCAGGTGCTTCAGTGTAAACTTGTTAGAGCACATATTTTTAAAGTTTTGTGGCAGAAAGCCACTGAGCACAGTTATTGTGTTCTGTGACCACCCCCTGTCCAGTCCCCAAATTGCTACTTCTGTAGTACAAAGGAATTTGGACTGTCTTTTGTGGTAGCTGAGTCAAAATCTCTTAGGCTCTCAGCTACAGCTATTTATAAACACAAGTGCTGAATGCTTGTGATGGGAATAGCTCACCTATTAAAATAAAATGCTTTTTTTTTGTAAAATAGAGAAAAGCTATGCTGTTCTCTTTCTCCTCCTCTGGGAGCAGAGAGGCCTCCCAGTGCATATAAATTGTACTTTTATCCCATTTAAGGCAGTGTTAAAGGCCCTCAGTTTAAATGACAATCTGTTCCTAAATTAAAACATAGGGATAATTTAATTTCTTGGTATACTTGAATGATAAGTTTTCAGGATTCCAGTTTTTCTTATTGTATGTTGTGTGCTAAAAACAAGGGATTAATGTCCATGAGACATGTACAGTAGTCTTTAGAAAAAAACCCTTGAATTCAGAAAGTATCTCAAGGCAATGAAGACAAAAGGAAGGCGAAAGATGATTTCTTTCAGTCAAGTGAAGGGCAAGGGTATAGAGGGAGAGGTCATGCTGGCAGTCGTGGAAAGGATATTTGCCTCCACTGGAGATGTATGTAGAAGTGTGCATGATTTGGTTAAGTTGACTCTACTAGAGACTCTTCTGAAGCAGAACTGGGAGGCAAATCACGTCCTTGTGAAACTTGGCAGTTACTTTATAGCATTATGGAAACACTGCATCCCCTGTTCCACGGCCTCCATGCCCTGGTTTCCCCCACGAGCAATGGTGCTCCATAGCTCATAGGAAGTGCTGTGAGGCTGGTATAAATTGTTCTTTTTCCAGCCCCCTCCTCCAGCTGTGTATTCCACTTCTGCAGTCTAAACATCACTGTGCTCCTCACCATAGCACTCTGCAGAACAGTGTCACAGATTTTTATCTTGAAAGAATACATTGTTTGGGCAGCTAGATCCTTGGATGTACATATTCAATCTAACATGTTGCCCATACTTAGGAGAGTGACCCTTCAAAGCAGTGTATCATCTCTCTTGCCTCCCAGATTAAGGACCATGATCAAATCATGTCAGATTTTTATTCTAATTTCAGGAGACAAGTGCTTGAGAGTGCTATACAGTCAACACAAGGGTATGTCCATATTTGTGGAGTGGAGCATGATAAAGTAGAGAACTAGACAGGAAATCTAATCATGTCATTCTCCTGTTATGTAGATATCTGTTGTAGTGCACCTGATTTTTCAAATTCACACAGCTGTTTGTTTGGAGGAGTGAGCCAGAGAATTATTTTGAGTAATGAGCTTCCCTTCTCAGCTGTTCTGATATATATTTATCTTGCATTTGGCAAACTGTGCTTTTTAACACCAGGTTAAGAAAACAACAGAGGCTACCCTGCAGACAATACAAGATATGGTGACCATTGAAGACTATGATGTGTCAGAATGTTTCCAGCACAGTCGCTCAACAGAGTCTGTGAAGTCAACAGTCTCTGAGACATACCTGAGTAAGCCTAGCATTGCAAAAAGAAGAGCTAACCAGCAGGAAACAGAGCAGTTCTATTTCATGGTAGGTTGGTTCCTTCCTCATTCATGTGATACAGACCAAGCACCTGAAGTATACATTGTGCAGAAGTTCCTGGAATTTATGTGACAAACATAGTAACAGATTGATCTGCATCTCTACAGAAATTCAGAGAGTATCTGGAAGGTAGTAATCTCATCACAAAACTTCAAGCAAAACATGACTTGCTGCAGAGGACACTCGGAGAAGGTAAATGTCACACAATAAACTGAAAAGTGATTCCAGGCTATACAATGAACCCACTGAAATGCCAAAGATATGTGGGAAAAAAATTACAAAATATAAAGCTTAATTATCCTATAAGCCTAGATTTGGGGTTTACCAGTCACAGTTTTGGTATAGTGGTAAGAGTACACACTTATAAATTGATTTTATTTCTTCAACAGATATTTATTTCCACTGTACAGACATTTAGACAAGTGACTATATTTGGAAATGGAACTGTTGAATGAAAAATCTCGTGTCTGAAAGGAGAGCTGACACAGTCAGGGCAGGGTGATTTAAGAGCTATGACAAATGTACTGTTTCTACTTCCTAAGAATTTCTGTTGACTTGAGGGTTTTTTAAGAGTTGACGGAGAGTGATATTTTTTTAAGCATACAAAATTACACAGGGTGGATCTCTTAAAATGGACTCACTAGTGCAACATTTCTGACATGTGGACATGAGTATCCTTTTTGCAGCCTAACAACTCAGTGGAACATTTATGAAAGGAAAAGGTGAAATCCTGACAGAAGTGAGATTCTTATAGAGTTAATTTAAGGTTGGGTTTCTACAGAGTATTTGCATATTGTGAACTGGAATGAATTAAAACTTAACGAATAACTCTATACCTGTTGATTATCATTATTGCATATAAATTTATTGCATTACAAATTATGATAGCAGAGAATTATCCGTTGTCCTGAACACTCTCCACAGTTTTTAAAAGTACATCTTAAAATATAATCAAAGTCAACAGATGTCCATGGTCAAATGTGGTAAAGCTGAATTAGGGCAGTAATGCAGCCCATCTCTTAGCAGCCCTCCCAACAGGCACTTCCTTATGGACCAAAGGGAAAAGGAGAATCATACTGCAAGGCTTGAGTACTAGCCACACAGTGTGTTACAGACTTGAGAGGAAGTAATTTACACCACAAAAAGTAAAAATCCTCTCCTGAAGGTTAAAGACTATAATTTGAAGTTCAGACTCAAGAAAGGAAGCTTGTTCTCTAGAGTGTCTTTAAAGGGTGTGTCAATTGATTTTCTTTTTACTGCCAAATATCTCTTGTTAATCAGATCTCTTCTTGCTTTTAATACAAAAGCCCAGAAACACAAATCCAGTTGTGGAGGTACCTGAATAGCTATTAACAGTTCAGTGGCTATGACACCCAATCAAAGTCCCTGTCCAGGGAGTGACTGAGGTTGGGGATAGGAAATAAACAGCATTTTTTGGCAAGGCTGGACTGTAGAAGTTGGTAGCTCTTTTTAGACAACTAACTATATTATGTTCTTTCTCATGGAAGTTTTCATTTAATCAGATTTCTTTTTAGTGTGTGCATTGAGCACTTTATTCACACAAAACAATGTGCAGCTGATGTTAGTCAAAAAAGAGGAAAAATTTCCTCTAAAGGCTCACAGAAAATGAATTTAGAAAAATAAAGTGAATGTTTGTTATTTGGACGCCAAATAAAATGCATGATAATCTACTGAAAGAGAAAAGGCAACAGATTTTGTTGCCTAATGCATATTGGAAAGAAATAAGGAAAGAATTGTGTGAAAGGAAATCCAAAGAAAAACTTCTCAGCAGAGTGACCTAAGTGATAAATTGCTGCCAGGCTCTGGGCCATTCTGCCATGCTCAGGCGTGCTTGGACTGTTCTGTTTGAAGAGTTCACTTCAGCCCACCAGCTGTAAACCCAAACAGTTAATCTGTGTTGCCCACCGTGGTTTTGCACATAATTGGTGTCACATCATCATAGCATAGCACGTACAAATAGAACCCCAAATGTACATGTTTACATCCAAAGCTGATATTTGGAGCAAAAGCCATCATTCTTACAGGTTAAAAAGTTGAAGTACCCCCTTCTATTGAGGCACATCTTGCACTAAAATGCACCTGCCTGAGAAAGAGGACCTGGATTCTGTACGTTCCTGGAATGGGGATGATTGAAAGGACAGAATTACAATGGAATTATGAACGTCATTGCTGTAGCTAGTACAGAAATGAATTTGTGGGAAGTGAACTGCTCCTCTGCTCCGCTCAAACTGCCTTTTCTGGAAACTTCCTTGTCAGCAAGACAGCAGACAAATAAGACAGGGTGCTGTATTAAGTAATGTGGTGGGAATAGGGGTAGAGGGAGAGCATTGGCTGAACTGCAAGTTTTCCTTTGGCACCCTCCCTTGCTTTTATTCAAACCTGTACAGTGTGAGGTTGTAGGCTGAATAAATCCTGATCCCAGTCTGGTGTCCGCAACTTCGACAATATTTGGCTTCTATTCCAGTTCATCAGTTGCCTACTACAACCTGTTGCTGTTTATGGACACAGCAGATACTTATTCACAATCTGCACAAGGGAGATAGATAAAGTGCTCTGTGCTGAGTCTGCATCTACAAATTTGGAAAAGTAATACACTCAAATGAAATTGATACTAAACATAGGAGGCACACTGATATTCATATTTATTCTGACCCGAGGCTCATCTTTTGAATTAACAAATGAACAAAGCAAAGGGAAATGCAAGAAAGAGAATTAACAGCTGTAAAAGAAATTGCCCCTGTGTCCCAGATAGGTTTTGCCCTAATATGTTAAATTTCAGAGATGTGTTTAAAATCCCCCAGACTTGAGATTTGTAACATCTTTTTGTAACGTCTAGCATTTATCATTGGGATTCTTAGTCTCAATTAACTTCCCTTGGTTATATGAGTAGGGAGAAGTCCCTGGCTTACCCTTTTTCTGTTATAGGTTATTTTACATACTCTTCTTTCATCCCTCTTTTTCACATCTCTAAAATAGATGCCAGCAATCTTTACATGTCTTATTAATGCCAGAGATTTTTCCCAGAGCTTATTCTTTGTGCCACCTTCTGTGGATCCCCACTTTTCTGGTATTGCAAAATATATTTTCAGACTAGGGTTTTCAGTACTGTGTAGTATTTCAAGTGCAATGGGACATTGCTGTATTGTATCACTGTTTTTATTGTATATTGCATATCACTGTTTTTCATTCTTTCTGCACTCTGACAAGCTTTTTTGGTATCACTTTCAAATTGAGCAGTGTACTTAGACCTTGCCCAAGTGATGCTCAGTATAATTGTCCATGGTTCTGTTAGCTGCATAGGTGTTTAATTCTTTCTTCCCTAATATCTTACTTGAACCTGTTAATAATGAATTTCATTTGCCATTATGTGTCTTGTCCCTTAACATGGTTAAACTGCTCTGAAGGTCTTCACAGTTTTGTCAGGACTTTGTCATCTGCACAATATTCTGCCTCCTCAGCTGCTGTGATCTCCCCGAGACATTAATAAATGTATTATATATTATGTAAATGGTCCTAATGGGAAGGCTTCAGTAAATGACTGTTGCGCTTTTGTTATGATGGAAAAAAAAACCACATTTAAGTCCACTCAGTTTCCCTTTTCTTCACTAGTTTTTGATCAATGAGAATATTTTGCCACTCAGTCCGTGGCTGTTCAGTTGCTTTAGTCACCTCTTGTGGAGAAACTTATCAGGGGCCTTTGAAAGTCTAAGTAAATTAATTCAGCTGATTCTCCTTTATCCAGTATTTTACTGACATGTTCAAAGAATTCTAATAAATTAATAGGGCACAATCTCCCTTTGGAAAAACAGGGCTGGTTGGAAATTATCATACAGCGACCTTCCTACCATTTCATTATTTTGCTTTTCATTATCATGAGTTGACACAGTACACATGCCTGACTCACTGGTCTGTTGTTCTGCAAAGCTTACCCAGGAACCTTTCTGGAATACAGTCTTTGCTGCCTTACAGTTCTCCACAGTTCTCTGTGGTGTTTCCCAGTGGTAGCATTGTATTTTTTTTTGCTGCAATACACAGACAAAATAGAGGAAAGCGTCTTTCAATAGCAAGACACTGGTGTCTAGAACTTTGTATTTTCAGCACTGAACAGGTTTAGTCACAAGGCACAGGGGGAACTGTAATCTAATCTTGGGGCATCTCTATTTCCATACTGATTTAGCCACTAAAACACATGAGCGTAAACAATAGATGTTGTTTGGAGTTTTACTTCAAATTATTTACAGTATCAAGTGACTCTTTAATCTATGGGCAGGCTTCTTAGAAGTTGTTCCATAACATGGGTTGTGTTTGTATTTTAAATGTAACTGTGGAGATGGTAGATAACTGCACTGCCTTGTTTGTTGTATAATTGTATATCTTTTGCTGGTAACGTGGAAGTTAGGGTTAAAAGTAATTTGACAACTGTAATTTAGATACAAAAAAAATCTACCTAAAACCTACAATCGATTGTTTCCTGTTTATTGAACTTTTCTAGGTCACAGGGCTGAATACATGACAACAAGGTAAGTTATTTTTATTTGACTTGATTTAGAGTTACAAATGTAATAAAATCTTAGAAATTACAAACTTTAGAACAAGTTTGTAAGGGTCTACAACACTGTTGTTGCTGTTCTTACATGAATTGTGTACAGACCCTGTGTGTTTTAACATTCAGCATTTCTGTTTCTGCATTCTGATGGATAAAGGACTAGGCTGTTCATCTTCCTCATTCTTGTGAGCTGCTTGGGCCAGTGTCAAGGGTGGGACAAGCTAGGAGATCCTTAAAAATATTTGTGAATCATACATGAGATTTGGAAGTTGCAGGGGGCTTTTTGGTGCTAGAAAAAAAGTTTTCAGTTCCTAGAGATACCTTGCCTCTCATGGTTTGTAATTCACTTGGTCAGGATACACAGTTCAGAAGAACCTGATGCAGAGATTAATTTAGGGGATAGGCTGCATCTTTGATAACCTGGCTCTGGACAGGAATACCTGCCTCCCCCAGGATCCCCCATTTGATACTTAAATGAATCTATATATTCATAGAAGAAAAGATATACAGTGTTAGATCCCTCTGCTTTGTGCAGCACATATTTTTTAAGTTGTGTAATGCCACACCTGCAATGCTGCCTCCAGACTTAAAGACAGAAGAGCACGCTGCAGCCCCCAGGCTATCAGACTGGAGGGAGGGGAGGCAATGGCAACTGTTTGGATTTGCAGCTGCCACTTAGGTGTAACACTGCCA